CTCCTCCTGACACTTGGCAGCAGCGACGGTACTGAGCAGCCACGCTCACGACTCATCATCGTTACAGATTGCCCGTTGCGTTGCTGGCCGACGGAAACTTCATCGTGGTGCTGCATCGATCTCCGTTGCACATCAAGCCCGTCGTCGTCGTCACTATCATCGTGACTGTGCTCTTCTTCCTGCCGTCCTGCCATTTGTCGGAACTACGGGACTCCAGCGCCCCTGCGCTACAAAAGAGCGACGCGTCTGCTCCTCCTGACACTTGGCAGCAGCGACGGTACTGAGCAGCCACGCTCACGACTCATCATCGTTACAGATTGCCCGTTGCGTTGCTGGCCGACGGAAACTTCAACGTGGTGCTGCATCGATCTCCGTTGGACATCAAGCCCGTCGTCGTCGTCACTATCATCGTGACTGTGCTCTTCTTCCTGCCGTCCTGCCATTCGTCGGAACTACGGGACTCCAGCGCCCCTGCGCTACAAAAGAGCGACGCGTCTGCTCCTCCTGACACTTGGCAGCAGCGACGGTACTGAGCAGCCACGCTCACGACTCATCATCGTTACAGGTTTGCTGGCATTTTCCTTTCTCGAATCAATTTTAGGTAACGATAACCGTCGCTGCTGCCACAGCTGCTATCAGTTGACCTGCAACTATATTGCTTGTTCACTTTCGCGCTTTCGTTTTGTTTTGTTGTTATCAAGTGACATTCCATGGCGAAGGACATTGCCAAATTATTTAGTGACTTTAAAGAAGAATTCCGACAAGAGTGGAAGTCTTTCAAAGTATCACTAGAGCGAGACATTCGAAGTGACATCCGTGAAATGAAGGCTGTCATAAATAGCTTTAAAGACAGTGTGAACTTCATGAACCTCGAGTTCGAAGACGTTAAGGCCAAGTTTGGCACAGTTTTAAAGGAAAATGCCGAGCTTAAGAAAGAAAATGGAAACCTTTCAGAAAAAATCAGCCAAATGGAAAAGCGTCTAATCGACTACCAGGATCGGCTCACAGAAGCTGAGCAATATTCAAGAAACTCCAACCTAGCAATCAAGGGCGTTGTAAAGCACGATCACGAAGTACTTCCCGACCTGATCAATAGGCTAGGGGAATCAATCGGCGAGTCAATCGCTAGAAGTGACATTGCGATCTGTCATCGCGTGCCACCCAGGACGCCACCAAATCTAACATTACTCTCCAATTTGTAAGCCGCAGCAAACGTGATGCCGTCCTCGATAAGGCAAAAAAGAAGCGCATTAAGAACTCGGATCTTGGCCTTGACACGGATGCCCCTGTCTTCGTCAACGAACACCTATGCCCATCTCTGAAGCGGGTTCTCGGAAAAGCGATTGCCAGAAAGCATCAATGTACTTGGAAGTATGTCTGGGTTCGAAATGGCAAGATTTTTGCTCGTCAAGCAGAGAGGACCCCACTTGTTCAGATTAGCAATGAGGCTGACGTAGGGAAAATCTGTTAGTTTAGCTACGCTGTCTTGTACAGTCTCTTCCATTTGTTCCTTTTTTTTTTATGGCCTACATCGAACTTGTGTTGCCGGAAGAACTGGGTCAGTTCTTATCCTCCCAAAATTCTACCCATATCTTTCACTTGAACATGCGTTCTGCAACATATAAACATGACTCTATTATATCATTTCTGGATCAGTGCCGTGTATCATTCGATATGATAATGTTCACGGAAACCTGGTATCAGCAGGATGCTGATATGCTCGTTCTGCCGGATTACACACATTTCTTTTTAAACCGTCAGCATAAACGTGGCGGTGGTGTCTCAATTCAAGTGAAATCTTCAATTAAATGTGAGCTGTTAGATATTTTTACTGAAATTACAAGTGCTTATGAGATCCTAAGCTTAAAATATGGGGCTAATATAAGAGCTGTCATGTACCGCCCACCTTCGGCGGATTTTGAAATGTTTATTTCTTTTCTTGAGCGCTTTCTAGACTACGTATCGGCTAATAACTACTCCTTCGTCCTAGGGGGTGACCTCAACGTTAATTTACTAGAGGACTCTTTCCAAACTAAGGCACTCAATAATACGTTGTATTCTAACGGGTTTCGTAATGTTATCACGTCTCCCACTAGAATCACTACATCCACATCACGTGTAATTGACCTTTTTATTACCAATATTACAACCAACATCAAAGTAACCGGAACCATAAGCTGCGACATAAGCGATCATATTCCAATCTTTTTGACTTTACATAATCATGACCCATACAAAGGTGCTGCTAAATCTTCTGTAACCTACCAAGAAATGACTAGTGATTGCCTACTTGCATTTAGGAATGCAGTATTCAACAGTGATTGGACATCGGTTTTCTCTAAACTAGATGTGAATGATGCATATAATGAATTCTTAAATATTTTTAAATCACTTTATGCCCTACATTTTCCGTTTAAAACTGTAACCACGAGCAAAAAAATAAGAAAACCTTGGGTAACCCCAGCCCACATAAAAATGATGAGGAAGAAAACTCGCTTATATGAAGCGTTTTTAAAGACGAGGGATCAAAATAAACTGTCATGTTTTAAAAACTTAGGAACGAATTGACATCTGAGCTTAGGAAAGCAAAATCATCATATTACAAGCAAAAGTTTCATGAGGCTACTAAACAACGACCTGACGTAGTGTGGAAAATTATTAATGAAGTTTTAAATCGTAGAAAGGTTTCCCACTCTATTGGCGAATTAACTATAGACGGTCATAACATGTCAGGTGCACGTTTGGCGGAACAGTTTAATGCTAACTATTCAAATGCACTACCTACCGCACAGGCAAACGGAAATAATGAAAATGTCCTTTCTTCTGTGAAACATACTGATGATACGTTTTTTCTCAATCCAACTGACGAAGTAGAGGTCTATAACATCTTTCTAGGACTAAAAAACAGCAAAAGTATTGACATTGATAAATTACAAATAAAGCCAGTTAAATTTGTAATGAATATAATTGCCCCACACTTAGCATACATATACAACTTATCATTATCATCTGGTCAGCTTCCCGCAAAAATGAAGTTGGCTAAAGTCACTGTTGTGCATAAAGGAGGCATGTAATGAATAACTATAGGCCAATATCTGTGTTACCTGTCTTCTCTAAGGTACTCGAAAAGATTATTCTTACGCGCCTCGATCACTTTTTTTGTAAACATTCTATATTAACAGACTATCAATTCGGCTTTCGCAAAGGCAAATCTACGGAAGCCGCCTTGTTATATCAAAAAGAAATTATATTACGAAATATAGAAAAAAGGCTGATTACTTTAGGTGTGTTCATTGATTTTAGTAAAGCGTTTGATGTCCTAAATCATACAGTGCTACTTATGAAACTTAGTCGATATGGCGTCCGCGGTGTACCACTTGCCTTGCTTCACTCGTATCTAACAAATAGGAAACAGTGTGTAGCTATTAACGGTTTTTTCTCTTCTTTCCAAAGTGTTCTTTGTGGTGTACCGCAGGGAAGTATACTTGGACCTTTTCTATTTATCGTCTACATCAATGACCTAGTAAACATCGATAACAAAGTTCAGTTTGTTATATATGCGGACGATACGAGTATGTTTTTCTCTGCGGCTGATGCTGATACACTGTTATGCCAAGCCAATTCTACTCTTACCAAATTTGCATTGTGGTCTGATACTAACGGCCTTAAGGTAAATACAATGAAATCTAAAGCAATCTTATTCAGATAAAAAAATAAGCCCATTTCAATAAATTCCACTCCCTCACTAGGTACGTCGTCAATCGAAATAGTCAGCCAGCATAAAACTTTAGGTGTATTTTTTTCAGAGAATATGACGTGGGATTGTCATGTAAATTATTTAACAGCTAAACTTTCTCGGATCGTTGGTATTGTTTCTCGTTGTCGCAACGTTTTACCACTCAACATTAAACTTAAAATTTATTATGCATTATTTCAATCCCACTTGAGTTATTGTCACCTTGTATGGGCTACTACAACAAAAACAAACCTTTAAAACATACTATTACTGCAAAAGAAAATAATACGATATATTGCTGATGTTTCCTACACAGACCACACAGAACCTTTATTTTTAAAATATCAAATAATTCCGGTTGAACGCATGTATGAGTATCGTTTGCTCTGTTCCATTCGTTTCTCCTCCACACACTTCATCGATTTCTTATTCACTATTTCTGAGCTTGTAAGGCATAGCAGTGATGTCAACATACGCCGCAGAGAAGCATGGGTCCTCCCTTGTTCCCGCACGAACTACAACTTTCAAACTTTACATTACAACCTACCACTTGTTTTAAATAAATGCCTCACAAACAACATAAACATATACACGATTAGCAAACGAGACTTGCGCTCTTATATCTTCGTTGTTCCCTAATTTAGTGTTATAATGTTTACAAAGTTCCAATCTTTTTTTTTTTTTTTAAATGTTACGCTAGGAGAGTGTTGTGCACTACCAAGCTGCTGCCATGTAATAAGGGTCCCAGACCCAGTCAAGCTGTCTCAACAGCTTTTTGTCTGGGACTCCTTCCAGTGTTTCTGGAAAATAAAGCTTTTGATTTGATTTGATTTTACTTAGTCTGTCGCCGAGCACCGCAGCAACGCAGACCCTTTGTTTTATTCACAGCAACAATTTTTTCAGTCACCTATAGTAATTGAAACAAAAACATACTGATTGTATTGCTATTTTTATTGTATAAAGCAGACACCAAGTCTATCTTAGGTACTCCTCGCTATAGTTTGCTTTTTCATCACTAGTATTTTTAATTTTCCGCACTGCAGTGTGCAAGATTTCTTCTCGAGCTATCACACAGCACAAAGTCCAGCTTCTTTCTACACTTGTCCAAAATCACCCGCAGTGTGGTTCCGCAGATGGCTGCATTAGATACTGTACTCGTTCACATTCACAGAGCAACCAAAGAAAATTTCGAAGAACACGCTGTTGATGGTTGGAGCGAGATGCGTGACCCAGAGACGGGAGGCGTATTTGCGAAATAGTTGTGTTATCTACATTTGTTTGCGTCATCTGATGCGCCATTTTCTCTTTTATTTACGTTGTCGCAATCTTCCCTGTCATAAATCCGGTATGTCGGATATCCACAGTTGAGAAGAAATGCGTATCGACAGCTGGACGGAAGTTCCTTAAATAAGGAATCATACAAATACGTAGTTTTACTCGAACTGCCAAGCTCCTTCTTCTCTTTCTCATTTTCTTCGCTTCCTGCTCTTGTAACGACTTGGGGAATGGTCACGTTCTTTAACCAATCTTCCCTCAACCAGAATTCACAAGCTGCAAAGAAAGGACAAGAAAAGAGCGATACTTTGAGACAATGGGTAAGACGCGCATTTTAGTATATAACAGTTCGCCTAGGGTAAAACAACAAAAAAACAAAAAACAAGCGGTTTAACGGCGAAAATATAAGCATAAGTTTGACTTACTTGAAAAAGTTCAATAAAGAAGAATACGAAGAGACTCTTATTTAATTGTGCACAGAAAAATGCCAATCAAGTTTTACAGAGTTTAATCGTTTAAATGTGCTTTCAAAGGTGTGGCACCGAGCACTTCAATTGACTTTTCTGAGATTTTAAACGCTATGCTCACCAGTGTAGCTATCGCTGCGAGCTTTTGCGATCTGTAATGCTGCACTACATCACCAGTGTCCTGATTTTTAGAATCCGAACGAGTTAATGAAGGAGCACTTTCAATATTAACATGTCTATGAAAATTAAGACAAAGATTGAGCAAGGTGGCTAACGTCTTTTTCCCAATCAACATGCAATAAGGAGCTTTATCCTCGTCACTTAAATAGGTTTTCTACAAGTAGAGTCAAGATAGTGAGTCAAATATAATGTAAGGAAAACCAGCCTAATTTTTCATCCGTAGCCTTTTGTCTAGGTAGAAATAAAATACGAAAATCAGAATAAACGATAGCACACGCGACTCGACCGATGGTCTCCGCTAGTGAAACTGTTTCTACCCTTGTATTAGGGGCGTTTCACTACATTTTAATCGGCTGTTTTTTTTATATCCTGTATTTTCACTGACGCTTCGAATATTAGCTGCAATCGGGGCGGCACAAAACTCAGGTCTCCAAGCCTTATGACGCATGAAATTTGGAAGAGGAGATGTTTGTGCAGATATAATAAACTATATTGTCCTCCGGCCTATTGCTACCTAAACTGCGTGCTTCATTTATGTCTTTCCTTTTTCTACTTGAGCGGAAAAAGCAAACAATAAGAGGAGTATCTTTTAATATTAGCATCGGACGAACCGTGTTGCTACACAAGCGTTGGGACTGCAATTATTTGCCAGGTTCGTGGCTGCGTGGGCAGTGTCTTTGGATCTATTTAATTTTAGCTCCCAACACTTCTTTACGCTTCACCTGACCTGGTGGAATGCTTGAGTATATTCATCAACCGTCGATCTCAAAAGGAACGTTCCAGACTTTGGCATGAGTATAGAATTAGTCATATAAGTTTCCGCATGGGGTCAGCACCACGGTAGTGTGCAATTCTGCCTGCTACGCCGACAACGACGCATCCTATAGACCTTTGTAAGGAGCCGCGCTTCAAGGGCTGGTCTGGCCACCATGGATGAAACACACTTTGTTTTTCGCGCCAGTCTGGAATCCGTGCGTACGCCTCAGAAACGCTTGACTCTCATAGAGTATACCCACACATGCAGCAAGATGGCGGCGCTCAGAGACCGTGCTTGCAAACGTCTATAGATCCTTCAAACAGTCACCGTCTGCGCGCTGCCATTCTTGGCTTCTGCTCTGGGGAGCACGTTCTGAGCCTGCGCAGTTGCTTTCTCATGCGGAACTTCAGGCTGTGCGCACGCGTCCATATCCCACTGACTCGGCCTTTTTAATCTGGGTGATAAGTGCTGGAAAGGATTATTGCCTTGAGCTTGTATGGAAGTAGGTTCTCGCCTGATTCGCGTCTGTTTATTCTGAAGATTCTGTATACATGGGCTGCTCGTGACGTCATTCAAAGAGCGCTCCGATGACCACCAGAGAAGAGAGGAAGAGCGTTATGACAGAAAGAGAAAGTTATGACAAAAAGTCATAACTTTCAGCATCACGGTCATGTGGAATCCTGCCTGCCACGCCGACAACGACGGATCCTATAGATGTCAGCAGGGAGCCGCGCTTTAGGAGTTTGCCAGAACAACGTGGATAGAAAACGCTTTGTTTTGGAGCCACTCTGGAATTCGTGGGCACGCCTCAGCAATGCTTAACTATCATAGGATATCCCCACACATGCAGCAAGATGGCGGCGCTCAGAGGCCGTACTTGCAAGCGACTATAGATCATCTCAATAGTCACCCTCTGCGCGCTGCCATACTTGTCAACTGGGTTGTCAACTGCGTTCTGAGCATGTACAGTTGCTTTCTTCCGTGGAATATCAGGCGACGCGCATGAGTCAACATCCCAGCGATTCGGAATTTTAGTCTGGGTGACAGCGATGGAAAGGTCCATTGCTTTTAGTTTGTATGGAAGAGGGGTCTTGCTTCATTTGTATCAGTTCATTCTGAAGATGCCACTTGCATAGGTAGCAAAACATCTATCTCTTTGTTATAGCTCTGTTGCTTGAACTCGAAGTACTTTTTACACTTATCGCCCTTTGCTTGGATGAATTCTCCCGGCCTTTGCGACATTTGTACAATTATTGAACGCATAGTTGTCGGTTCCCGGACTCCAGGTGACTCGAAAAATGTTTGAGTTGGTATTAAGGGCGAAACGACATTGAATATCTTGCTACATTTTTTTGTTTGGACTGCTCGATTGACGAGCATCCCGATTTAAAACAGCGCGACAAAACAACAACAAAATGAAGACAAGACAGACGACAAAACTGTTGTCTGTCTCGTCCAGATTTCGTGCTTGTTTTTGGTTGCACTGCTTTAAACCAAGATGTCGAATATCTTGCATATACTTAGATTCAATCCCTTTATGTTTACGCATAGAAAATGTTATTTATAAGTTACCGCAGTAGGTAAAATCAATTCATAATACCCACATTCATAGTCCTCTTCATTTTGCAGTGCTCTCAGTATGTGACAAAAAGAATTGCTAAATATAACGTATTTTTCTGAATATCTAATGAAGGGTCTTCGCCAACATTCCTGATGATATATGATACAGCCGTTTGCTTCACAGAGGAAGTTGAAATCGAGATTGTAGCAGGTTCCATTTGGTGATGTGGCTTTACGCTGAGGTTGCCCTTGGGAGGAAAAAATTGAAGAAAAGTTACTCTTTTGTTGGATCAAGTGGTACATTGTGAACACAACACCATAAACACGAATCGGGTTTGAGGCAAGACTTGGCGTGCGGCATCAATGCCCAAGGTGACAGAGCAAAATAAAGAAAAAATGTCACAAACAGTTGCAATTGCAGTCAACCATAAACGGCGTCAGCAACTAGACAAAACAAGTAAAGAAGACAGAACATGGGTATGTGGCAATAGCTAAAGGTACATTTTTTCTTAAATGAGCACACCTAGTGTCTGCAGGGTCAATGATCCGAATGCGCCGTTGTTTGAGCACGTATTCTGAGCAAGTAATGGACACGAGTGCCGCGGCAGCGTTTGGCAAAGACTCGGATTAAATCACACGCTTCGTGCCCAATAAATGGCGACGGCCAATGTTGCTCGATAAACTTTTGAGGAGGGTCTATGGAACTCATGATTTCGACTAAGGCCGTCTAATTCCCACAGAGTACTGCCTCTCATAGCGTCTGCTCAACCAGAGGTTAAGACGCCATTGAGCTTTCTGGTTTGTGGATGTCGGTGGCGGAAGTCTTCCATATTCACTCCTTAAATAATAACTAAAGAAAAAGGTCTTCCATACACCACTTCTACGTAGCTGTCAGCCTGTTATCGTCTTGACTGGCGTAACTTCTTTTATGGGCGTTTTGCTCACACCGCGGCATCACGAGTTGCTAGCATTGTAGGCAACTCTAACTCGATTTATTCTGCCTCCCCATATTTCTTATAGTTAACTCCTGCTTATAATATTTTATACTTTTTTTGTACCCCATACCCCATTGACCTTTAGACCTAAACTGGAATTAGGGAAGCGTGCTCTTCTTTATCCGTGGTTCTGTATGAGGCATGCGATGATGCCATCTGCCCACAATGCGGGTGTAGACAAAGCATCCGCACTAACGGCACAGATCACGTGCAAGGGTACAAAGCACGAGCTCTTAGCACTTGATTCCTGTGCGCGAGCGCTGCATTAGCGCTTCCCATAGCTTCGGCCCCACGTGTGTCGCATTCCTTTTGCTCAAGTGTAAAACAAAGCGTAGTTCTGCCTTTTCACCATATAAGCCGCGCCGATCGGAACTCGAGGCGAATACACGAACTACATAAGAAATGAAGTAAATGCAACAATTATTTAAGAAGTAAACGGTAATCTATATTCTTCTTAGAATTAAACTTACAGGGTAACACGAGATTGCGATTTTTAAACACGCTCTCGCAGAGCAAACGCTGCCGCAAAAAAACACGAGAAAAAAAACGGTACGTGTCAAAGGCAGGAGCGCCAGCTTGCCCTCGCTTTTCAAAACCTACTCCTCATGCGCCAGGCCTTGACTTTGAATTAGGGGAGTCTTAAAGCAGAAGGTAGAGACTGAGGACAAAACGCAAGTCCTGCTCAAGCTCGGAAAGATTGGAAGAAGCTGTAACTAAAAAAAAAGACCGGCCCCGCAGTGCGCACATCAAGCGCGCGCAAACAAAAAATGTTGGACGGTAACACGGATTGCTTCCATAGCAGACGGCTACCATTTTATTACTCTAAATTTCGGCGCTGCGATGTTATCATAAAAACAAGCTAGTAGGTTTAGGTAATCTGAGAACATTCAGTGGCATCGAGTTAATGTGAGAAACGTGTCAAAGGTGCATTAGACACTGCCTTTGTATGCATTATGCAGAAATGAACCGAGATTGGTAATGTTATATCATATGGAACCACGATTTCATGAAAAGAACCCAATCGGAACTATTTCAAGTGTTGTTTATAACTGATAATGCCTACATAAAAAAGACAGTAAAAACGTGTTGAATTGTTTCAATTTATTCAAACACACGAGGAACAAAATGTTACACGTCAAACTTGAATGAAAGTTTGAATGGCAACATTTTAGTTGCGTGAGGGACCGGCATATTTTTAGCGACCTCGAGTTCCTGGAAAAGTCATACCGGTTTAAGTTTGCTGCCAAGAGTTAGATACAAAACAGCTCAGTGGCGTCTATCTAGACTAATATTGACCCCTCTGCATCCGCATAAGTTATGCAAACAAACATGACACTGTAGTAAACCACACCAAAACCATAGTAGCACTTGGTGCGCAAATATTAAAAAAATTAATATTTCCACGCTGCTGCAGCATCAAACTTATGTGAGTACTTAACTATGTCGGCGGAAAGCCCGTAAAAAGGCATGACTGGCATTGTTAGTCGGTGGAGGGACTGTTGGCAATCTTGCAATAAAACTGTGATCGATAAATTCATAAATAGCTGCTGCACTTATGGTGCCCACCTATGCGACAACTGGTCCGCGCACAACGCTAGCCAAAAATCGTGCGGTGATGGTGTTAGCGTTAATTATTACTAGCAAAAATTAGATACGTACCCAGATACATAATATTTTCAATACTATAATCTTTTTGTTTTACAGCTTGAACATATTGTGTGCTTGATACCCTGTCGTACAACAGATGAAAAACACCAATTTGTAGAAATCTTGTTTAGGTGAAGACGCTCGGTACAAATTTACGGGAAAAAAATAAGGTTTGTTAAATATTGACTATGCAATATCTTTGATGTTTTTTTTTTTAAGCCTTAGTATTATAAGTTTTAGCCATTGCGTACTTAGTCTATCTCAAATTCATAAATCAGAAATGTAAAGAGTAACCAAAAGTAAACGTCAAGTTACCATTTAGCAGTTTGGCGTACCTTCAGATTAGCTACAATTATTTCAGCAATATCCGATAGACTTCACTCGTTCTCGCTACAAAACAACTAACATGAAATTTAAAAAAAAATTGGAAGATTGCGCGTTTTAAAATTATATGAATTCCTACCAAAAGACTTAAACTTCTATCCTTCTGTGGGTCAAATCCCGCCAAGGTAATAAAATTATTCAAAAACTTTATTTTTTTTTTAATTTTTCCTTAGGGCAATGAAGTTAAACTTGAGCTAAAAAAATCGTTATTAGTAAAAAAGAAAATAACACTGTCTTTTAACGAAACAATACTATTAAAAATAAACTAAACTATTTTTCTGAACTTAGTTAGACACAATATTCTTAGCCCTAAAAACTTTGCACATGCTTGACACTATGAATGTGACAAGTATGCGAAAACGCTATATTTGAGAAAGTATAAATAAGAATGTTCACTTTTGGATTATTATTCTGTGAAACCTTTTTTTTTTTTTTATTTCGAGCCAGCGCCCAGGGGGGGGCCGGCAACTTATGTACGTTTTCAGTAAACGGCCTTTTTGATTTGCTTACACTGAATGGTGGGTATCGTTTTCCCGTATGTTTATATTACTTTAATGCTACTAATTTTGCTTTTAGTTTCGCGGCCTGATCATTATGGACACATTCATGGTTTCAGTAAGTGCAGATTATACACCTTAAAGAGGGGGTGCAACGATTTTGGGGCTTTTTCCAGTTAACTGCAATGATTAGTCCGTGTCTCCTATAGAACGAAGAACACGAAACCAATTTATCTTGCGCGCGTTGTCTTGATTTAATAAAAAAAAAAAGAAATCGAAGGTCACCGTACCCCTCAACTCTCACCCCGTCTTTTGAGTGACGTCACTTGTACTTCTACCTTGTCTCCCGTCGGGTTGGGAACCTAGCGCACCCTCTGCGATTCCAAAATTTTTAACGAACAGCGTCGCCAAAGTTTGCGGCGTACGGTGGACACAAGAGACTGTTCACCAAGGTGCTGACGCCGATTTTAGCAGCGGAGAAGGAATGGTTTTGCTGGTGTGCTCCCAATGACGACACACCGTCACTCTTATAACTGCTACACCCGGCTACATATCGACAAATAATGCGTTGTTTTTATTTTTGCGTTTACACAGCGGAATCGCAATATTTCAGGGGAAGGGGACGCGTTTTTTTTTTTTTCGTTCGTGCCAAGTCAGGCATAGCGACGTAATATGGCGAGCAATTGTGTTTCAATATCCGTTGCTGGCACATCAGAACAATGGAGGAGCATGCCAGTCAAAGGGCAACATTGCCTGAGATCGGCGAGAGACAAAAGCACTTGTGCGCGTTTCGGGAGTAAACAAACGTACTAAGTATGCAAGAAACAGACGAACTTCCACGTCATACAGTGTTAGAAAAAAAGGTATATTGTTACACCCCTGGTCTCATATACGACACCCCAAAACTCTAGTTTGAGTACAGCGCTCTGATGTCGAATCGACGTTCGCAACTTTCACAGGCAGATTGATAGCCAAGTGGTACAACTTATTAAAATAGCTAATGTGCGTAATATTGACTACTAAAAAGTAAACTGGGTTTTCTTGGCATTACTAGAAAACCTCAGTGTTCTTTTTTTCTGTAGTCTTTGATATGTACTTTAGCTTTTTTGCTGAGGTGTATCTCACCGTTTTTAAGCACCTCGTTAAAATTGAGCCCGTTTGTTCGACGTCAGCGCGCTGCACGAAGAGCTGAAGTTTTGGGGTGTCGTAGAAGGGACAGGAGGTGTAAGAATATACTTTCTTTCTGAGAATGTATACGCCGATACCCAATCCAGATACATATCTGCTGCGGTGTTATAATAAAGAGACCAGTGTCGTATGCGTATTATGTTATTGAAGAACATACCAAGATCATACGTCGAAATATGTAGATAAAATGAACCGTACTGATCGAATGACATAATTGTTACGTAGCCGCCAAAAGACAAATTCCCTAACGGCGCCGTGATTCGATCACGTACTCGCATCCTTACCGGTCAGGTATGCTAACCACTGCACCACACCGCCTTGATTTCTGGCGTTTCTATTTGTCTTATGAGCGCACCGAACGGAATTGCAGAAAAACAGAGGTGTTCTGGAAGCACATGGTGCCGCGTGGAATGCGGTACGAAAATGTCTGGCATGTGGCACGCGCTTCTGGTGCTCCAGGGGCAGAGCCGTATTACAGTGTACTAGAATACTTGGGTAGTGTTGGGACCGGAGCGGCTCGGCAACGGGAGCTCGTGAGGGCGCTTATTGACAGTTCGTGGCGGCGCTGTAGTCGAGTTATCCGGAAGAAATCGCGCAGCCCGCCTTTTTTTCTTTTTTCACTTTGAGCGGTGCACGTGCCGGTACCACGATTTTATGCAGTCCGTTTCACCTTATGTTGTACCGCAGCGAAGGCTAGAAGCGCGAGCTCATAGCGTTGGCAGCTACCCTTGGTGCACGGGAGCTTGTGCCGCCGAGATGTGCCCTAGAGCAAAGAGCTCGCGCTTGTAGCGTTTCCTGCGGTTCAACACAAGGTGAAACAGAGTACAGGGCACATAAAACAAACTAAAAAAAAATCAGTATTTTCAAATCTTTTTTTTTTTTTGCGGTAGGCAAAGGGTAATGAGCGGTTTAATGGGCCATGTACTCTGTTGCAGATTGCAACAGAGTACAAATCTGCAACGGAATTGCAGATTTGAAGGGAGCCATTATTAAAGGCCAACCCAATATAGAAAGTTCGCGTACAAACAACGAGCTTTGAGCGAAAGCAACAAGGCGCTCGTTTTCGTTGTGTTTGTCCGTCCCTTCTCGTTTTCTTCCTGAAGCTTAATTATCTCTGCCAACCCGCTCGTTCTGTCACGAGATATTCATCGCTAAAAGTTTGCCTTTCTTGACTTAATTAAAAAAAACTGCGCGCTGAAAGCGCGAATGAGGTTGTGCTGATATTGATGCGTAGAAGAATGACACAGTTGTTTCTGTCCCCTCATCACTAACTCGACAGTGTGTCTTCGGTGGACTCGCCGGCGCCACACATCAAGACGACTAAGTCACTATTCTAGGTATTATTTTCATAACGCGGTTTCTGAATCAAGCAAAGAAAGGCAAACTTTTACGATAAATTTCGCGAACCTCGTTGCCTTGTCGCGAATTGTCGAAATTGTGTTTGCCTTTAATAATAACTCCTTTTAAAACTGCAATTGCACCATGGCCGTGAATAAACAAGTTAACTAACAGATTTTGGTTAATTATTAAACACTGCAACGGTTATTCACCCATTTATTGTCCACCGAGCCCTACAGATATAACGAAAGACGGCATTCATTTGTAAAATATGTAAAGTTCTGTAAAGAATAAAACAAAAACACCCTGTATGTCTGCGTGAACCAGATACGCCACCTGTGGAACCGTGGGTCTTTCTCTTCGAATACCCAGCTCAGGCGAGACTTACCTGGTTGTCAGAACGCAGCTGTCCGTTAAATATATTGTTATGAGCGTGTAGATAAAAAACTTGAAAGTATAAAACAGAGAGGACGAGGATGGGAACCGGACATCTTTCAAAGATGTCCTGTTCCCGTCCTCGTCCTCTCTGTTTTATAGTTTCAAGTTTTGTATCTATTAACCAACACGCTCGTTTTCAATTGGAGCGTGTATAGGTTTCGGATGGTTTACCCTCAAGAGGATAATGCGCTGCATATTGTAACCCTGGATGCGCTGCACATTGTAACCATTATTTCAATCCCGTGTTTTAAACTATTACAACTTTTTCCTTGCCTGATCTTTCACTTGTGCTCATGCATTCTGATCAAAATGATGTGAAATAGCTGCTTGTTTTTATTTTGTTTTTGAACCTTATAAAGCATAACTTGTTCAGCCCGCGTTGTCTCAGTTTTTGGAATTAAGTTCAATGCTAAAACGCGTGATAAAAATTGTCACGGCTTATAAGCCATTTCTTACAAGTGAAAGTCGGATAGTCCTCGGATGGTCCTGGCAGCCATGAAGAAATAAAAGATTCTCACCCCTCTGCGACCGTCGCTTGGGTGGTTCGTCGCATAAATGAACACAAGAATGACTGACAAGTGAAGCCGGCTGATTAAGGTCAAGAAAAAGAAGATGTGCAGAAAAGAAGACAGAGAAGTTAACCTGGGATATTAAAAACATACTAAAACAATGTTGGACTTTCGTATGTGCCGTTTCGTTCCATTATAAAATAAGATAGAAAAAAAAACTGCTTCCGAGTTTTAGATATCCCTTTCAAATATTTAATGTTCGGCCTTTACGACCAAGGAAATGGGCATTTCATTTAAATTGCTTACCATCCGACAAACCGAAAGTCGCAGATAATTTTCTACGCTGAAACAACTTGCAATCCGCTTCTTTAAAGTCACTATTGTTTTTATGTAAAGGAAGGGTAATGTAGCTTGAACCGTCCAATACATTGAAGCATCATGTTGCTAACGATCGTGCCATAGCGTAATTGATGCCGCGGTGTGACCGCTGGCAGGTCGTAGCTGTATCAGAAATTATATGTGCACTCCACCAAAGCGGCACCAAAGATTCATATTTTCGCGCGTGCAGCCGCGCACGCGCACACCTTTTGAATAATGCGCCGGTGTCGACACCTGTCGCGATCAATGCCACGCGCTTCAGGCGAGCCCCTCCGGTCCCAACACTACCCAAGTATTCTAGTACACTGTAGCCGTATATCTAGAGAGTTTGGCCATTTGTTGGGAAGTATAGGTCACAAATGAGGAGGCGCCAATGGCCGAAATTGGGCTGGGCGTGCTCCAGGGCGTCTTCACAAATTCGACTGTGGCCAACCAGAAGCCGGAAATAATACCCTCGCGGTGGTCGCGAGAAACAAACGTAATAAGTGCGTCGGAGTAACTCTTGGTGACTAAAAATATGGTGCACGTGATGTTTCAATCCCTGTCATCCAAAGTCATGGTGAAGAGTGCAACTATAGTGGAACGTGCGACATAATTCGTACGCCAAGCGCAGGGGGCCAAGAATCTGCCGTCCGAACGGTCACACTCTGTCTGAGCAAAACAGAGTTGAGCGGCACATTTGTTTCTTACATCTTTCGCTAAGATCATAATCGAAACAGCACGTGCAGACTATTTTCAAGCATAAGGGTTACTAGGCTTCACACTTACGCGCTCATTAGAACTAAATACCAACATATATCTATGATTAAGACTGTTTCTCGCTATCACCGCTAGGGGATACTTTTCGGCTTCTGGTTGGCCAAGAGAGCATGTGAAGCCCTCTATCTGCGTATGGTGCACGCCCTAGCTCTTCCAGCGCCTCCCATCGACCAAACTATCTCTATACAGGGCTCTGCTCCAGAGGTTCTCTTACTGTTTGTCCGGCCACGTATACATGCATAATTTCTTGTTTAGGAGCTTTATAAACACAATATCAACACTTGCGGGGCTCAAAAGCCACGCTTGAAGATATCATGGGCCATTTTTATCTCCTTACATGGTCTCTAAAGAGGAAATAATCGAAAACACGACGATGAAAGAAACTTATTAAGAATATATTAAGTACTATTCCTTCAGCTGGCATATTTTCTCTTATTTCTTCGTTAGAGACCACGTAAGATTACGAAAATGTCCCGAAGATCGCATGTGATGCAGTTTTTGTTAAATCATATCTTGTCAGCCTTAGTTGGCTCAGTTTACGAAGCTTCCATACTGGTTTGTAGTTGCGAGAAAGACCAATTTTTTTTTTCATTTTTTTTATAAGCGATGTTTGCTACATGTTTCTTTAATCTGTCTACGTAAAATAAAGATTTGCTTGTTCTCGCAGCCTATGCATTATTATTGAATTGTATTTTCGCCATGTATATTCACAATGGCAGACCCATATGGGCTGCGCCCAAGTGCATATGCGGTACTCAGCCGACGAAACTATTCTGCTGTAATATTGATCCCTATTTTTCTTATGAGAGGACTTTCCGTACTTCTGCATGCATCCTATTTTTAAGCCTCAGTATACATTTCAATATAGTATATATACCTAATTATTGGCTAAGCAATAAAGTAATTCAAGCACGCGATTGTACTTCAGTAAAGCTCGTGGATCCGTATCGGTCTTTAAAAAGCTTAAAATCGCTTCAATGGACACCAAGAAATAAATGGTTGGATATTTTATTAAAACGTTATGCCAGAGACCTTGTGAAGTAATGAAAATACTCACATTGTTTTAGATTTTGTGTTGTACCATTTTGATGTGTATTGGGCGCTCTTCAATGTGTAATTGAGGTCACTTGTTTGCACTTGGAGGCATGACACATCTTCGTAATGTTCTTGGGTGCCCCACCCGTTACTATACACTAGATAATAGCTCTGGTTCGTCATACACTTGATTGTCTGAAAATAGCAATATTTTTGGTAATTATTTTTATGTAAATTAAATCCTGTCCTCTGGTATAGCTGGGTATGCATTGAAAAAGCCGCAATATGACGACATTTCTATCAAAGCTAAGCTAAACATAAGAAGACCACCGCACAATTTTGTTTCCGTTCATAATAAATTGGGATAGACATCGCCAAAACGCACAGTCCGCTTTCGTCCAGGCAGTCTACGAGTGAAAACACGTTGTTATTCTCTAGAAGAATAAAGGTGACAAATATATTATCGATGTAAAAAATAGTAAAAAGGCTTTAAATACAATATTCGTGCTTGTAGAAATAACATTAATACACAAAAATGCCCGATGAAGCAAACGAGGAGACAATATTGATATTAAGTAACAACTATGGCAGCGTTGTTTTACCTTCATTCAGTATTTTTCATTCAGCTCGCCTTTAATTAAGAATATAGGCATCACATTTTATTGTGTCATCCTTTGAAATTCGTGCCACCTGGGAAACCAATATATCAAGCCGATGCCAACAAAATAAAAGTGCATTTTTTTCCCACGGTTAAACATTAGACATTTTCGAAGGCTCAGACTTCGCCCAAACGTAGCGCAAAGCGTTAGTGAAAAATAAAATTAAAAGCAAATTGTAACTTTCGGTTTCCGGATATAAACGCTTAATGCAATTGACAGCAATTTTTTTACTATGCAATGGGTTTTGTTTTCAGCAGGGTCATTATTCGGGAACATGTATTCACAAGGTCATTCGGCTGGCATCTCCTCACTAATATAAACAGGATCTCGACTGAAACAACAATCGATTCGTGACAAGGCAGATGGCTAATATCGTTACAAAAATTAATATCCCCGGTGAAAATGAATCCTACCTTCCACGCATCCTGCATCGCGCCAAGGTCTTTCCTGTTCAGGTCGGGATTGTTGTCTGGTGGTTTCTTCCAACTTTGAAACTCTACGTCGGCGTATACCGCAAAAACCCTTAGACAGAACACCAAATGTTTCAGGGCTAACATTGTTGGCGACCTCTTAAACGTAGTTGCGATATGGGCAGACGTCTTCACTTTATATCGTTTCACCGATTACGTAATTTTTGGAAGAATCGAAAGTTATTTTTATTTTTTGTTGTGAAAAGAAGCAATTACAAAAATCTCGCTCTCCCACCTTTTTTTTTTGGGGGGGGGGGGGATTACGTAGGTGTGTCTCCTTTATTTTGTCAGGCAATGAAGCCCCCGCTTGGAAGGATGTTTAATACCCTAAGGCCCGGCATGACATTATGCACAGCAGCGACGCCTGAAAAATAACTCAATCTCAGACTGCCATGCGCACCGACGCTGCTCTGAACATCCATCTGTTCGCCGTTCGGTAGGGTTGATCGGCTACGTGAGGCTTCGACTACGTCTGCTCCGTGCCTGTCATCTTCTTTGTCTGCCCATTGTTATGGCTGGCTTTCAATGCAATCGCGGCACACAATAAAGTATTGCTGTTTCACTAAATGGCGAATTAAATGAGATTTGCACATTTGTTGAGCATGAATCGCTAAAAACTTTCCATGCGAGTTTATTCATTCCAAAAAAGAATGCGTTTTTGTTCTGTCTTCTCTTACAAGACCTTCTGTTTTGCACCAGTGCTGACGAAACGGCGTTTCAAAGAACAACCTTCTTGGAATGCGTGTATTTTGTCGGAACGAAAGAACTCCGCCGTCCCATCTTGCATCAATGGAACTGCAACGGGAACTCACAACGTTTCTGAAAAAAATGGAAGAAGGAACGGCAATGCTTTTAATATCTATTCTAAAATTTATTTAACTATATGGTAGAAATTTGTAGTCGGTGAGAGGTTACGAGTGAAGTGGGAGCTCCTCCCTTTGATTTCCACATCGGCGGAGCGAACACTTGAGATGAGGCTACTTCCTCTCCAGCGTTCGCTTTTCTAAAGTGGAGAGAGATCAGAGTCGGCTTCTATTTCGCTTTTCACTTGTCACCGAATATAGGCGTTTTAATTATCGCCTATTCGAATCTCGGATTTCAAGGGATTGGGAAGTGTCTGAAAGATATACGAATATAAAGAACTGTAACAAATGGAACCATGACGTTGCGATATTTCCTAACTAACTCGCCTGAACACTATTGCTTCTTGCAATTCGATACGTAGTTTGATGTGGATATTTTCACTCTCTTGCTTTTTTATTTTTTTTATTTAGAGGATACTACAGGCCACTGAGGCCCAAGTAGGAGTGGGGTACAACATATGCATTCGCACATACAACAAATGACGTGGCATTAAAAAGGTTTCCAACAATCAACCAGACATATATATATATATATATATATATATATATATATATATAGAAAAGGGGCCGGGGGGGGGGGGGGGGAGAGAAAATCAACCATCAAGCCGCATGGAGTGCAATCATGCTGTAATACAAAACGATCTATCCAGATGTATTATGAAGGTTTATACAGACTTAAAGGTCATGCGAAATGGATGAACGTGCAGCAATATACAAAGCAACGTGCTAATCACCAAGACGTTCAAGGCCTTGTACAAAAAAATTTGTCATTAAATAGTTTGAGAGGCAAGCCGTTCCAGTCACTAATAGTGCAGGGGAAAAAGCTATAAACTTAAACATATTAGTACGCGCAAAAATGAGTGTTAGTGAAAACTGATGTCTGTGCCGCGTAGATCTTCACTCTAAGGGTGGATAATTATATATTGCAATGGGTCTATGCGAGTCTTTCCTTGTTTAAAATGAAACAAAAATTTTAATCGTGCAAACTTTCTTCTCGTCTGAAGGGTGTGTATTCCGTTAGCCTGTATGAGTTGAGACGGGGAATCCAGCCTTCTATGTTTCCGTAAATGAATCGAACCACTCGAAGTTGCACCATTTCCAACTTCCGGATGTCTTTCTAAGTTAATGAATCCGAAACGACATTTGCATGCTCCAACTTGGATCTTACTAATGAATAGGAAGCATGTACCTTAGCCTGAGTCGGGGCGTCTATCAGCTTTCTTCTAATGAAGCCCAACTTCCTGGATGCCGAGGCACAAATATGGTTTATGTGAGGAGACCAGGAAAGTGTGTCAGATATGTTTAAACCAAGATATTTACATTCCTGCGCTCCACAGTAACCGGGGTATCCGCGATCTTATAAATGAATTTGAAGGGTTGCTTTTTAATTTTGGTGATACGTAAAAGTGTTGATTTAGCAGAATTAAGCTTCATTTTCTAGGTATTACCATGATAGAACGGACTGCAAACTATGGTCTATAAGCAACTGATCCGAGCTCGACTTTATTTCTTTGAAAATAATGCAATCGTCGGCAAAAAGACGTATATGAACAGATGTGTCAATCATTGACGCAATATCGTTTATGTACACCTGCAAGAAAAAAAGAGAACCAAAAAGGCTCCCTTGGGTGACCCCTGACGTTACAGGCAGAACTGGAGAGAGACAGCTTCCGACGGAAACAAACTGTGTGCGATGGGACAAGTATGCAGCAATCCAGTTAACAAAACCATGTGGAAGACCAAGTTGTTTAAGTTTAAAAAGCAATTCTTCATGAGGCACCTTATCGAAAGCTTTGCTGAAGCCCAAAAAGAGCACATCAATTTGACTTCCCCTATCGAGGATTTGCGCAAACTTATGGATAATAGTAACGAGTTGGGTCGTAGTTGATAAGCATTTGCAAAAGCCATGTTGAAACTGTGTTAGGAAATTACGGCTATCCAGCAGTTGATTGATTTGACTGCAGATGATATGCTCTAATAATTTACATTAAGAAGTTAAGGAAACGGGACGGTAGTTCGCAACTGCTAGGCGATCCCCCTTTTTGTGCACAGGTACTACTATCCCGTATGGAAATCTTATAACTGGGCCATATCTGGCCATATCAAACATTATATAATTCTATACGGCCTATATACAGAATTATCTGGCGTATATACAGACTTATCTGGCGTATATACAGCCTGATATGGCATATATGCAGACTTATCTGGCGTATATACAGACTTATCTGGCATATATACAGCCTATATGGCTTATATACAGACTTATCTGGCGTATATACAGACTTATCTGGCGGCCGGTTTTCAATATATTAAAAAGATGAAAAAGTAATAAAAAAATTCTTTGTTATCAAACTCTGAATGACTCATTATTCGCGAGCTAAAAATTAGCATTAATAATCCCAAACTTCAGCTTTGACAAGCTTAAGTTTGAGATTATTTGCGTCAGTTTTCACGAGGATTTCAATGTAGCTTAATTATTTCAAAATATTAACATTACGCCCGCATAGACAATTTGCTAAATCCCCCCAATGCCTCGACCAGTACTCGAGGAATCATGGGGATGGTGTTTCTTCAGGCCTATAGTAATCGAAAATTTCGAGCAATTCTATGGTTACACAGATTTGAGTGCAATTCGGAGTCACCCTAAGCACGTGCCGTACAGAACCCAAATACCTGCCATAGCACTTTTAAAATGTCCCGCCAATGTCAGTACTGTGCATTCCGGCCAACCTTCAACCTGGATGAGCTGCAGACATATCTCTTACATCATTATCATTCTCGTACAGCTTCAAAGACGCTGGTATTAAATTAGAAACGTTAAAAATGTCATTAACAGTTCCGCTGAATCAGCTAAATTTCGCTTTTGGTTGTTGTGATTTCTCGGCTTTTAAGTAATTCCTGCTTAAACAGCAATTACGAGAATGATAATATGGTAAGAGATTTCGGCGGCTCAGCCTGGGGTGCTAAACTCGTCGAACACAAAGTTTGAGCCGAAGTTCACGGAACGCACCGATTGGACGATCCCGACGATGACTTGGCGCTTTTTTCAGCGGCGTCCAATCGGCGTGCTCCGCTAACTTTGGGCTCCAACTTTGTGTTCGACGAGTTTAGGGCCCCTGGTTGAAGGTTGGACAGAATGCACAGTATCATAAACGCAGCCATTGACGAGAAAATTTAAAAGTGATGTGACAGGTACTTGAGTCCTATGGGACGCTTGTTCAGGGTGACTACGAGTTACACTCGAAACTGTGTAAACATGGAATTGGTCGAAACTAGCGATCACTAATCACCGTTTAAATAACTCCGCGAGTGCGGGCCGGGCAGTTGGTAGAATTGTAGACAATAAAAAGATATGAAGTGCCAATTTCAGGCTTGTGTTCTTTTGAAATGCCTGGCCAGATCTGGAATTTCCTTACTTAGCCAGATCTGAGATTTCCATACATCAGGCTATATCTGGCAGATATACCATATCAGGTTATATGTGGCCAATTTTTGATATGGCCATATCTGAAATCTTCAGATCTGGCCAGATATAAATTTTTTGTAAGGGATGGCAGTACGCCAGTCTTCTGGCATCGAGCTGTTCGAGTATGATGTAGGAAAAATAATGAGAAGAAAATGGGCTGGGGGTTGTATTCGTTTTCAATGACAACAACAAAGAAACTATGCGGTGATAAGTTATGAACTCAGATTCACAGTTTGTTACGGTAGGAAGGACATAATCATGGTTACAGTTATAAAAAAAACCGACTGGAAATACTCTTGAAATGACACGCTATAACACCATGGTCAGTAGAGGGAGTGTCGTTCATCATGATTTGCTAAACGGGTTTTGTTTTTTTCAGTCAAATAGCGCCAAAAGAGTTGAGGGTCCTGTTTTAGAAACTTTAGAAGCGTATCGGAGGAGTAATTGTCACTAGCCTCAGAAATTAGGCTACGAAGATCGCTCTGCAGATTATTGACATCTCAGTTAATCGACCGTGCCTTTATCGATCGTTTTATTTTGCATTTGAAATGTATTATTTTTCTATTAATCCACGAATTATCACGATTAAGGCGCTTGTATTTTGTAAGTATAAATTTGTCCAAACAGTACTCACATAAGTGTTTAAATTTTAGCCCAAGGGCAACAACAAATGTACCAGTGAAATTATCAAGGTTTATGTCAAGATAGTCAAGTATGCTAGTATCGTCAACTCGTGAAAAGTCTTTGAAAGGCGA